ATGCGGGGCTCGATCCCAGGACCCTGGGATCATGACCTGAGCTGAAGGCAGACGCTTAACGACTGAGCCACCCAGGCGCCCCTCAACTTTTAAACTTTTAAATGTAGCTCGGCTATAGGGGGAAGCATTTTGTTTATCTACCTTGACAAAACACAAAGATTCCTTCTGGCAGAACATTTGGTGAATGCAAAGGGGTTTAATTTAGTTCCATAGTGATGAGTTAGATGGATTTTTACGGACAATTGCAAAAGTCTTAAGAAAAGTTAGTCTCTAATCTACTTGGAACAGAGAAAAAGATTTGATGTTGCTGATCTTTGTCTATGAGGATTGCCCTTGTAGAGTTCCCCCATCAACCCTGGTAAAAAAAGAACTTGAGAGCTGAATGTGCCTCCTGTGGAAACCTTGAGGGAACATGTATTTTGCTTCTGAATGGATGACAGGAATGAGTAGAAAGAATCGATGGACATGACAGAGAAACTCTGGTGAATACCACAGATCCATGACCCAGCAAACTTTATTTTCCAAGCGCTATCTTCTTAGGAAAGAGATTTTTTTTTTTTTAAAGAGTGTGTGTGTGTGTGTGTGTGTGTGTGTGTGTGTGGAGGGGGTGTCATTTGGAGGCATTGCTCAGTATTTTCCACTAGCTATCAAATATAAACTCTATACCACACCCCAGGTTGTATTTAAGATGTTTGACACTGGCAGAATATTTTGCTGCCCTTTGGATGAACAATCTCTACTTGGAAGATGCTGCAGTATAGCAATGTTTTATAAAGATACTCTGTTGATTCGGTCAAGGGAAGCAAAGGAGGTTTAAATTGGAACAAAAGGTTGGGTTGTTCCAATGGGAGGAGATGGAGCAGTGATTTTCATATCGTTTCTCCCACCCCAAGCCCTGGCATCACATAGCCATTAATAGAGAAACATCTCGCCTATCTGTAGTTCTTATGTCGTTTATTACTTAATGTCAGACATTAAGATAAATAACAACAGTCCTTGGCATGCTAGGAAGATGGAAGTATTTTGGTTTGGCTTAAAAAAGACAACAAAAAAAGGGGAGTGTTCTGGTAATGAAGCCCTTGAATGTCATGTTTAGTATTTGGATTTTATTCCGTTGCCAGTTGGGAGCAAGTAAGAATGTTTGCAGCAAGTAAAAATGTTTGTAAAGATCGTCTGGCAGTGGTTTGGGAGAATGTCACCATGACTGAAGCCAAAGATGGAAGGGCCTTAGGCATGAGAGTGAGAATAAAGATGAGGGAGACATCTTTGATAGACTTTCATCTGGGAAATTAATAGACGCTTTCAGGAAGCTTAGCTAAACTGAATATAACCTTCACAATGACTTTTTTATTGAGTTGGCATTAAAATGAACCTCAGATAGGAAAGCTAACTAATTTTAGGCATACAAATGTTTTATTCACTTTTAAAGGCAGTGGGGTTGGGAGAAAGTTCTTCCTATATGTGAAAAAAAAAAAAAAACAATTGAATTACGTGGAAATGAAATGATAACTATTTTCATTCTGTTGGGGTCCAGGTCTTTTCATAAAAAGGCACCTGCAGGCTGATTGCAAGTCTAAACCCCAGGTTCCGCTTGAACAGTTGAAGAGGACGCAGCACGTATTTGCAAAGTCAACACCTACTTACGTCTCCGTTGTTTCAATGCTTCACCCAGAAATTCGTGTCCGGAGTCGTACAATCCGTATGGCTCTGTGGATTGCTTGGAGAAAACAGTGAATGATTAGCTTTGGGTCAGGGAGAAACTTGCAGGCTTAATTTGTTTATGAGATTTTGAGCTAATGAACACACAGGTATAATTGAAATACTCAGCAATAAAGTGGTCCATGGGCTCTGGAATCACAGTGCCTGTTATCTGATCCCAGTCCCACCTCTTCCTGGCTCTGGAATCTTAGACATATCACCTCCTACCTCAAAACCTCAGCTTCCTCGCTTGTAAAATGGTATAGGAATGGCACTAACTCTTAGGGTGGCTGCAATCATCACATAAGGAAATCCTCAAAAAGAGGCTTACTCAGGATCTGGCACATAAAGCATATTCATGATTTGATTATTGATTGTTGCCAGTTCAGGACTAAATCCAGCACACAGTGGAGGGGGAGGTAGAACAGAAGAGGACTTGTTTGTGTTACTTCATGAAAAGTGTGAGAAGTGGGGCCTCTGGGGTGGCTCAGTCAGTTAAGTGTCTGCCTTCGGTTCAGGTCATGATCTCAGGGTCCTGGGATCGAGCCCCACATGGGACTTCCTGCTCAACAGGGAGCCTGCTTCTCCCTCTCCTCCCAGCTTGTGCTCTCTCTCGCTATCTCTCTCTCTCAAATAAATAAATAAAATCTTAAAAAAAAAAGTGTGAGAAGATTTTAAGCAGAGATTTAAAAACTTGTTTTGGCAGAGGAGAGCCTGGGTGGCTCAGTCTGTTAAGTGTCCGACTCTTGATTTTGGCTCAGGTCATGATCTCAGAGGGCCTGCTTAAGAGTCTCCCCCTCCCTCTCCCTCTGCCTCTCTCTCTAAAAAATTAAATAAATAAAACTAAAAAAACTAAAAACTAAAAAAAAACTTGTTTTGGGGGCGCCTGGCTGGCTCAGTCAGAAGAGCAAGCCACTCTTGGTCTTGGGGTCATGAGTTCAAGCCCCACGTTGGGAGTAGAGATTACCTAAATAACTTTAAAAAGTATAAATAAATAAATACTTGCTTTGTTTAGGGGCACCTGGGGGGCTCAGTTGGTTAAGTGTCTGCCTTCGGCTCAGGTCATGATCTTAGGGTCCTGGGATTGAGCCCTACATCCGAGGCCTACATCCAAGCCACACAACCAGCTCCCTGCTCAGTGGGAAGCCTACTTATCCCTCTGCCCCTCCCCCCTGCTTATTCCCATACACTCGCACTCTCAAATAAATAAATAAAATCTTTTTAAAAAAACTTGTTTTGTTTTGTGGGCTTCATATTTTTAAAAATATTAAATCTGTATGGAGTTCACACATTGTTAGACGCCTGCTTTCTGAAGGTGTTTGAGTTGGGGGCCCCCCTGTGTCTAGCCCTCAGATACCATTATTATCCCCATATCTGGCCAAGAGTGGTGAAAAATGGAATACTATAGAGCATTATATTCCTCTTACTTCTCTCTTTTAAATAAGCTACCTACTTACTTTTGAATAAGGATATGGTCTAGGCCTTTTTACTTTTTTCATTCTTTTTAAATGTAAGCTCTATGCCAAACATGGGGTTCGGACTCATGACACTGAGATAAAGAGTCGCGATCAAGACTCACGTGTTCTACCAACTGAGCCAGCCAGGCACCCCAACACAGTCTAGGTCTTTATCTCACTTCTTTCCAAATTTTACCCAGAGTCTGGGAGAATCACCACCATCAATAACGTAATGTTTCAAAACCTTGGTCATAGCAAAGAGAAAACCCCAAATCAGTATTTCCTTGTAAAGGGATTTTTCAAGTAATTTTTTAGCAGAAGGAATGCGGGTACTGAGTTTGAAAACCTCGATGGCACAGGACTTGTGTAACTTTATTTTTGTAGGGCATATGACTACACAGCTGCTAGAGACCCGAATTTTCCCAATTTATTTTTGGATATTTTCATTCACATAAATGGTCAACACTAAAGCTTTCATCTTTTTAAATGTCTTCTGACAGTGTTATGTCTCCTGAAGAATTGATTTTGGCAGCAGGAGTCACAACAGGGCACCTCACTGATTACACGACCTCTCATAAGTAGGTACCACCCATGGTTTAAATTCCGAAACGTCAGGGGCACCCAGTATAACTCTGTGCAGCCTACCATAACATACCGGTTTTCTATCTCATCATTACTTGGCACTGAAGACGTCCTGCTTCTCAGTCACATATTGTCAATGACATTTACAGAAGTCCAAGGGGAATACCCAATTTAGGGTGGAAACTGAATGGGCAGCCACTGGTGTCTTACTTTAATTTATACTAAGACGTTTCCTTTGTTAAGGAGAGAGAAGGCCTGGGCGCCTTGGTGGCTCAGTCGGTTAAGCGTCAGACTGTTGGATTCGGCTCAGCTCGTGATCTTATAGGTCCTGAGATGGAGGCTCGCATCAGGCTCTGCTCTCAGTGGGGAGTCTGCTTGAGATTCTCTCCCTTTGCCCCATCCCCACTCGCATGCTCTCATGCTCTCTCCCTTGCTCTCTAAAATCAATCAATCAATCTTAAAAAAAAAAAAAATTAAAAAGGAGAAGGAAGGCTATTCTAAAGAAGGAACAGAAATCAAGGGACTTGCAGAATAGACTGAATTTGTAGCCACTTCACAAAACAATACTGTGTATCACTGGGAGAGGTGGTAAGTGAACTTGGTCAAGGAGTTGGAAAGGAAATTTGTTTTGGTTGCAACAGTAAAGTTTTTTCAACACCCAGGAAAAATGTGGGGGCTGGAGGGAAGGGCAACAATTCTAGAACTTCCGCCCATTCATGTAAGTTTATGCCTGACAATATTTTTGCCTTTTTCCCCTCCCTGGGAGGACATGGGAGGGGGCGTGGGATAAAATGTAGTCGCAGAAGATAAAATAAAGCCTAAGTTGAAAGTCTTGCCAACGGATCATTATCAAACAGTTGGGTTCCAGAACTGTTATTTTGATGGTTTAGAGCCATTCTTCATGAACATTTAAAATGATTTTATGGTAATGAAAACAAAACTGGCAGCCTCAGCCCCATCTTGTCATGGTCAATCTGCCTTAGGAGGAGTTTGTTAAGGTTGGCAAAACAGATTTCGAGAAGACCACTGGAAAGCGAAGGCAGCGTAAAAGGAAGGACTCGGGAGACTGAGGGGACTCGAAGTTATGTCTTTGTTGGCATGTTTGAAGCAAGCCAGCGAGAAAGGAAAACTGAAGGAGTCTGATAGCTGTCTGCAGATACTCGAAGATGAGGAAAAAATGAGACATTTACTCTCTGTGTTTCTCATGTTGGAGCTAGGGCAAAAAAAATGTTGGCATAACAGCCAGGAAAATTTTGGCTTAGTAGAAACAAGAATTTATAGCTGTTCAAAACGGAGAATGTTAAAAACCTACCAGCCAACAAATCGGGCAAACAGATGCATAGCATTGGGTGGGCACTGAGCAGGGTTTGGGCACAGGCTGACTGCCTGATGGGGAGGCTCCAGAAGGCACGGAGGCATGCACGAAGGGGGTCTTTAACTTCATCTTTTAAGAGCAAGAATCTATGACAACTGTTCTTGAGATTATTTTTGAGCCCTTATTTTCTATCTACTGATTAGGACACTGAAGACGAGGAAAATTGCTGAACTTGGAAAAACCATCGGCCAGCAAGCTGGCATCGTTCAAATTCTTATCCAAATTTGTGAATGTACATGTTCTTAACCTTTAGGCACCCCAGGCACAAGAAGCCTTTCTCAGGCAGGAGAGATTCTGAGAATGACACTGACTTTAGAGAATAATTCTACTTTCCTTTACTAGAGCGATACCTGTGGCTAAATGAAAAAAACAAAACAAAACAAAAAATGAAGCAGTCTTCCCTACAAACGAGGATTACTAGATAGGAGGAAGCTGAGGATGACATGAGAGCTGCTTGGGTTCTTTCTTAGACTTCCTCACCACTCACCACCTGCCACCCCCACCCCTAGGTGCAGGGGACCAGCCTGGGCACGCAGGTTGTAACTCTGAGCTCCTGTCGCAGATGCATATTAATCCTGTGTCATAGGCCCCCGTTTACCCAGAAACTATTCTGTTCCTGGGGCTGGTTCTGACTCTGCTGTTAAAGTCCCTGCAAAATATGGAAAAGTGAAGAACCAAACTGTCTGACCAGAAACCTAAACCAACTCCCACATAGCTCTGTGGCTGGATGTCTGAGGACATTCACGCAAGTGCATAGTCTTCATGGCTCTGTAGCAGGTGAAGTCTCTCTTGGTGAACTGGACCATGTATGAACCCAGAGGACTGAATTTGCCAAAGGCTTCTCCTTTCCTCCTGGATTCACTGGGATTTCTTCTTGGCTTCCTAAGGGCAAGGGTACTTTCAAATGGCATGTACCCAGGTCCTAGCTTACTGCTTCGGGCATAGGACATGGATGAGAGAGAAGAAAATAAAAAAAAGGGAAGAAAACTTAAAAAAAAAAGATTTATTTATTTATTTGAGAGTGAGAGAGAGACAGAGAGAGTACAAGCAGAGGGAGAGGCAGAGGGAGAGGGAGAAGCAGACTCCCTGCTGAGCTGGGAGCCCGATGTGTGGCTCAATCCCAGGACCTGGAGACCATGACCTGAGCTGGAGGCAGACGCTTAACCATCTGAGCCACCCAGGCGCCCAGGGAAGAAAACGTTTAACCCAGTTTCTACTTCTGATCAAAGCCCTCCAACCAAACCTCACTGTGAGGCTCCATTTTGTCCAGAACCTTTGAAGGGATCCAGGTTCATTATGGAAACAGTGTTCCCTAGATGTTAGCAAGACCCACTGTCACATCTCAAGTTTTCTTGTTTCTTTCTTTTTTCTCTTTTTAAAAGATTTTATTTGGGGTGCCTGGGTGGCTCAGTAGGTTAAGCACCTGCCTTCAGCTCAGGTCATGATCCCAGGGTTCTGGGATCGAGCCCCAAGTTGGGCTCCTTACTCAGCAGGGAGCCTGCTTCTCCCCCTGCCTGCTGCTTTCCCTGCTTCTGCGTGCTCTCTCTCTCTGACAAATAAATAAAATCTTAAAGAAAATAATAAAACAATCGTGAGCGATTTTAC